CAAAAAAATAAGGGGGGGGGGGGGAAAAACACACACACACACACCACACAACCCACACACCAGGAATTAAAATAGAACACATTCCCTAATCCACCTGTCAAACTATCCTGCTACAATTTCCTACTGAGTTTTTTTCTACCTGCAACTTCATACCCACGCAGTTTTCTAGAGTACACAGACAAGCTAGACATTACATTCTTCAATATGATCAAGTTAATATTACTGAAAGTTTAGTGTGGTTCGTTGCTGGAGCAGGTGGTGACGACAACAGACTTCTATATGCACCCTGCGTAAGTGTGGCACTAATCATTTTGTTTTGCTGTTTTTGCAAGCAGTACTTTCTTTAAAGAAGTAAGCAAAACACTGAGAAGAAAAGCAGCTTTTAAATGATATACAAACTTCTAACTGAAATCTTATTTCAGGGGAACTGGAATTTCTTTCTGCTGAAAAAGTCCAATTTTCTTATATTGTTACTACCCAACTCTGTTACTTTATAGCTGCCACCTAAGACCTCTTAACAGAGGTCTATCTGTGCAGAAACAGTGGAAAAAGCACAAAATGCCTCAAACAAACAGAAACCTTCAGAGTAAGCTAATACATTTCAGAAATTTATTCCTAAAGCCAGAGAAGCTACTAGTTAGTTCAAGCTGGAAATGAGGGCCTGTATCCTACTTACTGCCACTGGAGATGTGTGCAAAACTTCTGACAGTTCTCTGGGGTGGGAAGAAAGGAGGGGGTAGGAGTCTTGGCTGGAAGTATGGGATGCAGAGGCAAAGAGCTGTACTTGCATATCAGGCCTCTTGGTATCTTGCTTCTCAGCAGTGCTGCCCCCAATACCTGCAGCAGCTACTAAACTATACAGCAGCACCTCCTTCCAGAAAAGGAATCAAACTGCAGCCTGCCACTCTGTTGCTTAAGATCTTTCCTTAGGTCTTTATCCAGAGTTATTTACCACACCTAATTAGCCACCTCCCAGCTTCCAAGGGCCCATGAAAAACTAGAAGAGAATTCTTGGGCCCCAAGCCTTGAAGTGCAACCCCATTAGGTAGACTTTAAAGGTTAAAACTTTGTACAAGGCTACAGACAAACCACTTACTTCCCCATTCCCAAGAAGTTTGGGTGCTTGTACACGTGATGAAATTGGCCTTTAAAGAGGCTTAACTGCCCTTTTGCACCACCTTAATGGTGTCACTGTTTACATCTGCAGTCACATATTTAGTTTTAATTTCGTCACACTGTACATGTGCGGTGGCAGATATCACCTTAAATGACTTTGTTGTATAGTAAAGTAAAACACATCTGATGTATTTTAATTTGCAATGGTGCACCGGGCACTGGAAGCTCAGCTGTGCTCGAGGAAGCTCACACTTGGCGGGGGTT